TGAGAATCCGGCGTACTGCTTCCAAGTGTGACTTTTTAGGATTTTGCATAAATCTACTCACCACTCCTACTGCAAATGATATATCCGGCCTTGATAAAGTCAGGTAGATTAAGCTTCCGACCAGTTGCCGGTACATGGTGGCACTTGTTAAGTCCTTCCCTTTATGGGAGCAGAGTCTGGCATTCATCTCCATTGGAGTTGAGATTGGCTTGCACTCAAGCATCCCAAACTTCTTTAATAAATCTGATGCATACTTTTGCTGACACAAAAATATGCCTTCTTTTGTCCGATCCACTTCAAGCCCAAGAAAGTGCTTTAATTCTCCCAATTCCTTCATCTGAAACCGTACTGACAAGTTCTCCTTTGTTTGAAGAATTTCTTCAATGTCATCTCCGGTGACAATTAAGTCATCCACATAGACAAGCACAATTGCTACTTTGTTGCCTCGAGTTTTGACAAATAGGCTTGAGTCTGCAACTGTCATTGAATAGCCACTTTGAACTAGAAATTCTGCAATTTTTCCGTACCATGCTCTCGGTGCCTGCTTGAGTCCATACAGTGCCTTCTTTAATTTGCAGACATACTCTGAATGCCTTTTGTCTTCAAATCCACATGGTTGCTCCTTATAAATTTCTCTATCAATTTCTCCATGCAAAAATGCATTCTTCACATCCATCTGCCACAGCTTCCATGATTTGCTTGCAGCTAGAGCAAGCAGGACTCTAACAGTATTAATCTTAGCCACTGGGCTGAAAGTTTCATCATAGTCTATCCCATACTGTTGAGAGAACCCTCGAGCAACAAGCCTGGCCTTATATCTCTCTATCTTCCCGTCTGGTCGAGTCTTAACTTTGTAGACCCATTTGCAAGATACTGGCTTTACATCATTTGGCTTGGGTACTAATTCCCAAGTTTGATTTTGCTTTAAAGCCTTTATCTCTTCTTCCATTGCTTTTCTCCATTCAATACTTTGTGCAGCTTCCTCATAGTTCTCCGGTTCGATCACCGGACTTGCTTCAATAAGAGCAATATTAGCATACTTGGGATTTGGCTTTCGCTCTCGAGTGGAGCGTCTTAGCTACTGCTCAGGCTGTTGTTCTGCTTCTTCTACTTCACCTTGTCTTGTTTCTTCGATCATGGGCTCTCGTACTCCTATTTGCCATGGACTTACTGTTCTTTCAGGAGCTATCTCTTTTTCCTTCTCTACAACTTCTTCAGTATCTAATAGCCTGCAAGTATCTTCTCCAAATTTTTCTTGTACTTTTTCTTCCAACTCCTTGGAATCTGGCAACACTATCTCTTGTGGAGACCACCAAGAAGATGCTTCATCAAACACAACATTTCTAGAAACACAGCAACGTCCAATATTTGGGTCACAACACCTCCATCCTTTCCTTTGGTCATCATAGCCAAGAAAAATGCATATGACTGCCTTTTTATCAAACTTGGTCCTTTGAGCTTCTGGAACAAACACATAGCACACCGAGCCAAAGACTCGAAAATGACTCACCACTGGCTTAATGTTCCACAGCTTCTCAAAAGGTGATATAAATCCCAAAGTAGCTTGAGGAAGCCTATTAATCACATGGGCTGCAGTCTTCATGCACTCTGCCCAAAATCTAGGTGGCACATTCTTAGCATGCAACATGCTTCGACATGTTTCTCCAAGGTGTCTATTCTTCCGTTCAGCTACTCCATTTTGCTGAGGAGTATATGGACAAGTTAGTTGTCGCCGAATACGATTATCTTGTAGATAATCTGAAAATTCCTTTGATGTATACTCTCCCTCATTGTCTGTTCGAAGGCACTGAATTTTCTTGCCAACTGTCTGCTCAACTTCCTTTTTGAACCTTTTAAACATTTCGAAAGTTTCTGATTTTTCCTTCATGAAGTACACCCATACATGCCTCGAGTAGTCATCAATAAATGTCACCATGTAATGTGCTCCACCAATTGATGATTGTTTGACTTTACCAAAGACATCCGAGTGTACCAGCTGCAGTGGTTCCTTGGCCTTGAACTTGGACTCCTGATATGGAAGTTGATGTGCTTTCCCATATTGACAACCAGCACAAACAGCATCTTTGCGCACCTCCAGCTTGGGTAGGCCTCTCACCATAGATTCATTCATCATCACCTGCAATCTAAGATAACTAACATGCCCAAGACGTGCATGCCACAAGTCAGCAGTATCATTCTTGCTGGTCCTGTCCACATATGCTGTTTCAGCAGACATCACATAAACAGAATTCTTCTTTTCTCCTTCCATGATTGGTGTGCCTTCAATCTTTAATTGTTGATACACCTTCACATCCTCCGGTCCGAACACCACATAATTTCCGGGAGCAGTAAGTTGTGCCACAGACAACAAATTCTTTTTCATCCCAGATACATGGAGGACATTTTTCACCTTTACTTGTTGAGAGCTGGTGCGTGGTGTTATCACTGCATCTCCAATTTGCTTGATTGGAAGCCGGGTATCATCTGCTGTGACTACCACTCTGTTTCCTTTGTATTCTGACAAGTTCAATAGCTTTTCCTCATCTCCTGTCATGTGACTAGTAGCTCCAGAGTCAATTATCCAATTTTTGCTATAATCAACTCTGCTCTGGTTGGAAGTTGACAAAGCCACTTGGTTAGCCTCAACTTCGGCTTCTATCTCCACTGTCGCACAAGAAGCTTGCATGTCCCATTCTTCTTCACTGTGATTCTCTTCCTCTCTTGAGGTAGCAACATTTCCTTGCACTGAGCCCTTTTTGTATCTGAAGTCTCTTGCAAAGTGACCTCTTTTTCCACAATTAAAACACAGATCATTACGTCTCCTGTAATTGTTGGAGTTGCTACTTTCTACCTCTTGGCCTTCTTGAGCTCCCCCTGAATGGTAACTCCTACCTTGTTGCCTCCAAGATCTCTCATCCTTGGGCTGATCTAACTTGATGCTCTGGAATCTACCTTTGCCTCTAGCTCCTCCTCTAGTGCTATAGAAACCTCCTCTAGTATTGTACTTGCCTCTTCCTCGGCCTCGTCCACTGAAGAGTGCTTCTTCCTCTGTTTTTTGTGCTCCTTCAATTGCTTGCTTTCCTTGTGCTTCTTGATCTGCTAACAGATTTTCTAATTCATTCACGGTTGGCTGAATTTGCCAACCTTGTACTGCTGTGATAAAGGCCTTAAACTCTGGCCTTATTCCATGAATAATTATTCTCCTCATTCTTTCATCTGAAATTTTGGATTCTTCATCCAATTCTGAAATTTCTCGGCATAATAATTTGATTTTTGTGAAATATTTCCTGATTGGCATATTCTCCTGCTTCGAGGAAAGCAACTCATTTTCTAGCAATTGAAGCCGAGTATAATTCTTCCTTCTAAAGCGAGCAGCTAAAATATCCCAAGCATCTTTTGGTGAGGTAGCGTACCTGATGTGCTCCAACATTTCTTCCTCAATAGAAGTTTTTATGGCAAACATGGCCTTGGCAGCT